GAAATTTTTTAAATTAATTATACATGTTTCTCACTCTCAAAGTCAAGATAATCTAATTTAAGCTTATAAAGTACAATTCGACATAATAATTTTTAAGTTAAATAACTTTTTTGGTCCCTCTACTATAGGAAAAAGCTCATTTTTAGTCCTTATACCGAAAAAATCCCCTTTTTGGTCCTTAAAGTTTGAAATCCGGCCCTTTTTTGGTCCCTCCATTAAATTTTGGTTGATGTGGCAAGTTAATTAACGAAAAACCTTTTTTTTTCTTTACTTAAATTGTGTGAAAAATCCATCTGGCAAAATTTGATGATGTGGCCAATTTTTTTACATAATTGCCATTACAAATATTTTAAAGGTCATTTTGTGGTTAAAGGTACTTAATTTTAATTACGTATTTGCCCTTGTCTTCTTCCTCGTTCTATCTTATTCTTTCTTTCCTCCAGCCTTCATTTTTTTTTTTTTTTTTTACCTTTGCCTTATGGAAATTAGATTTGGAAAGGCGAACCCAAGTGCCTGGGTTTGCTGGGTTCGTCACGATTCCAAGCATAAGTTCATCGCGAACCCAGGCAACAAAAGATTAAGTATAGAAGGGATGGTGTTCAGATTGACAAGGTCACTACAAAAGAAGAAGGCACATTGATTGCCATGGCAACATCTGGATCCTTTTCGCACAGCCGAGGCACAGACAAAGCAACACAAATTCACCACATCAGGTTGCCATTTCCATTCTATCAATGAAGTTTGATTTTTTTTTAGCAACAACAATAAGAAAGTAGGGTGGAATAAAAAACCTGGCCAAATCGCTCTGAAACCATTTCAAACCCATCCCCAATTTCAAATAGACATGAAAGGCAATGGAGTGAGGAAACGACTGGAGCAATGCTTGAGGAGGAAAGGAGTGGTGGGTGAATGCAATGTCGTAGGGTGTTCCTTCGATCTTTGAAATTCCTTGTAGAAGGTTGGATCTGGAGGCTCAATCTCTGCTCTGAACACCATGGAAGTTGCAAACCCTAAGAAACGCAAGCGGGACAACTCCATCGCACTCGACAGTGACAACGACCTTTCTCTCTTAGAAGCCATTAAGAAATCTCAGAGCACCGTCGATGTGTTGGACATCTGCACCCTCAAAAAACTAGTCTTCTCCTTCAAGCGTCGATTCAAAAAGAACATCAAGGCTTGCGTCAAGTACCAAAACCAGTTGGAGCACTTTGCGGACTCCGAGGTAGACCTCCATGACGACCTCTGAAAGCTCAAGATCCTCGCTAAAGCCCTCGAGCTATACCCCCAACCTTGTCAATCTGAACACCATCCCTTCTATACTCAATCTTTTGTTGCCTGGGTTCACGATGAACCCCATGCTTGGAATCGCGACGAACCTAGCGAACCTATGCACTTGGGTTTGCCTTTCCAAATCTAATTTCCATAAGGCAAAGGTAAAAAAAAAAAAAAGAAATGAAGGTTGGAGGAAGGAGAGAATAAGATAAAACGAGGAAGAAGACAAGGGCAAATACGTAATTAAAATTAAGTACTTTTAACCACAAAATAACCTTTAAAATATTTGTAATGGCAATTATGTAAAAAAATTGGCCACGTCATCAAATTTTGACAGATGGATTTTCCACACAATTTAAGTAAAGAAAAAAAAAAGGTTTTCCGTTAACTAACTTGCCACATCAGTCAAAATTTAATGGAGGGACCAAAAAGGGGCCATATTTTGAACTTTAAGGACCAAAAAGGAGATTTTCCCGGTATAAGGACAAAAAGGGGTTTTTTCCTATAGTAGAGGGACCAAAAAAGATATTTAACCTAATTTTTATATACAATAATAATTTACTTATAAATTATAAGTATCGTGTCAATGCTAACTAATTTAATTTTTTTGATTGGTTAAATACCCTTTTTGGTCCCTCTACTATAGGAAAAAGCCCCTTTTTAGTCCCTATACCGAAAGAATCCCATTTTTGATCCTTACTGTTCACAAATCCGGCCCCTTTTTGGTCCCTCCGTTAAATTTTGGCTTACATGGCATGTTAACTAACGGAAAAAAAATTTTTTTTTCTTTACTTAAATTACGTGTGAAATCTATTTGGCAAAACTTGATGACATGGCCAAATTTTTTATTTTTAATTACCAATATACCCTCATTTTCTTCCCCATCCTCTCCTTCTTTCAGCCTTTTATTTCTTTTTTTTTTTTT